ATCTCAGGAATATTTCCTCGCATGAATGAATCTATAGAACTATAGGAGAATCTAAAAATGTCATGAACACACTGAAAAGCATGTTAGGTCTAGGTCAGTCTCTGCATTTTTCTTGCAAAGCATGGATTCTAAGATTTAATTATCAAGTCATATCCCATTGTGATAGTCTTATTACTTTACTTTTAAAAAAGTGTAGAATAAAATATGACCTAGTAGAGGTGTGTATAAGATCAGTAGAACTAGAATGTATGTCACTTCGACATATTTCTTATTATCGAATACCAAGTGTTCATTTTGAAGAAGTAGGATTTCAAATGAACAACTTTAGTCAAAACTTATAAATGTAACTCAGTGGTAATAGTTGTTTTTTTTAGATTTATCTTATCTTAGAGCTGGAAATTTATGTTTCATTAGGTTGTAGACTTTCTATCTATATCTTATTCCTAGAGCTGGAAACTCATACTTCAGGCTTGGTGGATGCTGTGGGTAAACTCTGTCATATACACAATACAACAACAGCCAAACAGTTAAAGAAACTTTTACAAACTGATGATTTGCAAGGGTTGGTTAGTTTTGGGTGCTATTTTTACAATACCTCTATTCAAGACACAACTTCACAGAACCTGGATATGGATGTCAAAAATGTTTCTAACGATTTTCCTAAAAATTTAACTTTTGATGTATATTGCTTAAAAAAGAATTAATAGCTCATTGGCCACACTGGGAAAACTCTAGTTTGACAGTTATTTTTCAAAGTAAAAAATAAATAAATTTAAACTTGGCTATAAAAAAACATGGCATAGTCAGACATGGTGTACTGATAACTGAGTAGTTTATTCAATTTAATGATAGATTATCTACGCTTTGCTTATATTTTTACATAAATCTAACCTTGATTACAGTACATCTGGAAGTAGATCTAGATCTATACTACATCTTAAGAGTTCTAAATTTAAAAAAAAAAAAGAAATTTGGTAAATTTAATCGCTGCAATTTCGATCTTGAAAATGGCTTTAGTTGTCCTAGGCTAGGGTTTGTATTTCTACGTCATGTTACGTCTCGAGAGACTATCTTTTCCCTTTGCAACTTCTTGTGATTACATGAGAGATGAACCTCCTATTGAAAACAAAAAAAGAATAGAAAGGATCTTGTCATCACCAGGCGCCGTGACACTTTCTCCCATCTTTCTACTACTGTTTGTATAGCTTCTGCAATCAGGGACGCTTCCTCTATGCTCGCTTCATGTGGATCTATTCAGTGCCACTTTTTCACAACCCTAAGCGTCGATTTTGAAGAGCTTCATCGTCGGTACACCTTAAAGAACTCCATTATCATCTTAAATATACCTATTGTAAAAATACCAAATTTGAACACTATGTGCATATTGTACTACTAATGTTTCAGAACATTAGCAACATTCTGCTTAGTTGTCTTGTCTTATTCTATTTAAATATATGGGTTAACTTTGTACACATTTCATTGAGAAGATGAGACAAAAGTGTTAAAGGGAGATAAGAGACCCCCCCCCCCCCCCACATACACACAAACACACATGCTAAGGAGGTAAGGATGTACAAATGCTTGTGAATGTGTTTGTTTATTGTCATGAAATGCTGATGGACCTTGTTGTATCACGTTCATGAGTTACAAGTTTACACAGTCGAGTGTAAGATTGCTAGTTACGTTTTGTCTGGAATAACGGTTCTCAAACGCTTCTTGATTGTTGAAGTTTGATATCAATACATTTTAAGCGTTAAAACACTTTCCAACACTTTTACAAAGCTCTTATCAACTGTCTGTCTGTCTGTCAGGTATAATGTGTACACGATATTACTCCTACACACATCAACAAATCAAGTTGAAACGTCGATTATTCATTGACTTATACAAGACATTAATTGTTAATTGTGGAGACATGAGTGGATGACGCTCAATTCTTAGTATGAAGTTAGTTTAATAATATTCTCGTTTGAATGACTTCTCTATGGGGATTTACTTATTATTGTTGGGTTACTTTCATGTTTTAAACTTCAACTCGAGGATCACAATCATTCAGGGAGTTAAGTTATTGAGATTAATGAAAAAAAAATTATATTCTGTCAATGCAATGATTTTTTTATAATAACTTTTTATGTACATACATTTCAGTGGGACTCATGGATTAGTACATCATTGAGAAAGTTACTGATGAATAGTTTATGATGCCTCTTGAAAAACCAGGAAGTCGTATACGTTTCAGAAATGTACCTAGTGAGATAGCACAGGAACCGCAAAACTATATTAGTCCCGTATAAATACAGGTAGTGTCACATTTATCTTGTTCAGTTGCACTTGTTTCATGATGGATTAGCTCGGCAGACAAATTGTTTTTTTTTTGTCCTTTTATTTAGGTCTACGTGTTTTGTCTGTTTCTGATGTTTGTCTTATGTTTGTAAATCCTAATAAGATGCCAAATTTTAGTGTGTTCAATCTAGGTCGATGATTTCTTATCGATATGCTTTCACAACGAGTATAGATTTGCATGATAGTATAGCAAACATTACCGACACACGTTACCTCCGTGAGGTGGTCTAACTTCAGCCTTGATCTCTTTGAAGTGGTCTAGCTTCAGCCTTGAACTCCTTGAGGTGGTCTAACTTCAGCCTTGAAAGGTTGAAGTAGAACATGTACCGCAAACCTAATGCGACGCTCTGTCACAACCTCATTAAGTGTTCGACATAGGATTTCCATGTTTGAGACCCAATCTGGTAGCTGACTCCCAAAACCCGTCTCAGCCATTTTTGTTGAGCCACATTTAGTCTTTTCTCAATTTTGACAGATGACTTCCATGTCTCACATGCATATGTAGCAGTTGGAATGATGATTGTGTTGAGAAGGTGTATTTTTGTCTCGAGTCCAATGGCTTGGCTAGTCCAAATAGGCTGCAGCCTTTGGAAAATGCTCCCTGCCTTTCCTATTCGGCACGCTTCATCATGGTAGGCATCTCCATCATTTGTTATGATGCTGCCAAGGTACGTGAACTTGTCCAGCTCTTCAAGCTTTGATTCGCCAGGTTTGACGGGGACACCCTTTGCCTTATATCCCACTCGCATAATTTTAGTCTTATCCAAGTTTATGTCTCTCTGTCTAGGCTCTCCGTCATTTCTTGAATGCATGTATTTGTAGCCCCGAATAGTGCAACATCATCAGCCAAGTCCAAGTCAGTCAATCAGAGATGTTCACGCCATGGAATACCAAAGATTATCTGGTTCATTGCTCTCCTTATTATGTAGTCGATGGCTAGGAGGAAAAGGAAGGGAGATAAGATGCACCCCTGTCTCGATTGTAAAAAAAAAACTGTTGTTCCCTTTTCTGTTTTAATGCAGCACCTAGACTGACTGTAATGGTGTCGTAGGATCTGGACGAATTTTTCTGGGATGCCTTATTCTCTAACTATTTTCCGTAGTGATTCTAGGTGGACACCATTAAACGCTTTTTTAAGTCCACGAAACTGATCGTTAGCCTTTGTTGGTACTCAAGACTGTTCTATGATATTTCGTAGAACGAAAATCTGCTCTGTACATGATCTGTCTGACAGAGAGGAGAGTAATGCCCCTTCAGTTGTTGCAGTCTACCAAGTTGCCCTTTTTTGGAAGCTTTACAATTACTCCCTTTTGCCAGTCCTCAAGGACTATTGAAGTTCGCCAACAGAGATTTAAGAGATTAGTCATTCTGTTAACTGTCCCCCATATTTTAGCATTTCTGCTGATATTATGTCTAGCCCTGGTGCTTTGTTATTCTTTAGCACTGCAATGGCCATGGTAACCTCCTCAGCAGTTATTGGGTCTGTCTTTACCTTGAGATCATTGTCCGGAGAGGGGTCCTTGAATGTGTAAGTTAGGTCTGGAGACGGTTGGTTAAGAGTCTCTTTAAAGTGCTCTATCCATCTTGCATCCTGTTCTTCTTTTGTTAACAAATTTTTCCTTGCTTGTCTTTTATCGGTGCCCCATGTCCACTCTTTGCTCCAGTGAGATCTCGGACAATATGATAGAGAGTTTTTGTGTCAATTATGCTTGCAGCTGCTTGTGCCTCTTGTCCCTTCTGCTCAATCCATTCCCGTTTATCTCTTTACTTTCAGATCTGCTTCCCTATAGGCTTCTTCCGCTAGGCTGCGATCCTGTGTTTCATTTTTCTGATCTCGTCTACGTTTGGCCTCTTTCCTCTCATCTATCAATTTCCATGTTCTGTCTTGTATCCACCGTTCCTTGTATGAAACTCGCCTCCTTCCGCGCACTTAATAGTGGTATCTTTGAAGTTAGCCCATTCTTCTTCAAGGGTCAGTATATCTGCAAGAGCCTCAAAGCGGTTCTTTAGTAACAATTGGAACTGTGCTGCAGTATTGCCGACTTTAAGCTTCTCGACATGAAATGGGCGGTGTGAACCTCCCTTTAAAAAAAATCAATATAAAATATGCAAATATCCAATACAAAATGACGTGCCTTTTAACTATTTGTACGTATCTTATTAAAATTGCTTTAAAAAAAATAAGGTTTTCAAAACCTCGCTGCATGTAATTAGACTGAATTATGAGGAAAAACAATAAGTGTGTAATTGTTAAAGTGTGTGTGTGTGTAGTCTCATGTGGCAGTCTGACCAATGACCTCCTACTTAACAAGAGGATGGACTGAATATGGTTTATTTTTCAAAGGATGACATGCCTAATAAAAAAAGACGACTAGATGAAACCAAGCAAGATTTGAGTATTTGCTGTGACTATTTGCTAAGCAAAGGAGAAATTTAAAAGAGCAAAAAATAATTCTCTACTATTTTCTTTGTTGGAAACCTGACATAAGCTTGGGAGAATAATTTAAGTTGGTCACTCTGCTGGTCCCATGCCCCCAATAGTTTATCTCAAAAAAGAATAAATGTACACAACCAGCCACATTCTAGGCTTTGAAGTAAAACTATTTTAACTATATACTAATTAAAAAGTACATTTATAAAAAAAGGAAACTTATGCCATTTTTTTCTTGTATTATAACTTTGAATTATTTATTAAGTTTACAAAATACAAGGTAATGCTTTGAAATTATCTTTCACACAATCTCAATTAAATAAGTGTAAGCTATTAATAAACATGCTTTATAGAATACAAAGAGTCTAAAAGTTCGACTACGAACAAATGACAAACACTTTATGACCAGCATAGAGTGTCCATGACCAGCATGGTTCTGACAAAGTTATTCTTCTTCCTAGTAAACACAGATAACCAAATAAACTTTTCACATTTATAAGACTTAAGGGGAAAAAAAAAAGATTTGCTTTAGTAGATATGGCAGGAGTAAAAGTTTACTCCACATAAACATTGGCATACACACAAAACTTAACATTAACCACATTAACAAAATGTGTAAATATATGTCCTTTTTCAACATTTCAATTGTTCTCTTGTTTATCTAATCTACATATACAAATCTATACAAAGAAATGTACAATAAAAATTTTCGATATTAAACACTATTGTATTGTAATACACACATTCAAGTTGTATTTTATATCTAAATTAAAAGTCAAGATTAATGACACAAATCATACAAATTTGAAACAAGTCATTCAAGTTGTGATATCAGAGTCCTTTCAAAAAATGTTCCTACAGTTTACTGACAGAAATATACTACCTGCATTACTACCTACTACAACCCATGCACCTTCAATTAGTGAGTCAATGGACATAAAGTAACAAAATGTTTGACATTGAATCATCACAAACAAGCTGATTACATATTTCTGTTGTATTAACCATGTAACAAAAAAATAAGAGACAACTAAGACAATTATTTTACCCAAATAATTATTTTCAAACTAACATAAACCAGTTTTACATTTTGTGTGAACTTTTAAATGGGTCTGTTAGGAATATATTAGGCACTATGAATGGGTCAAATTTAAAAGACATGCATAGACAAAAGTTTGTAAATGAGAGAGTTGACTTATTATGGAACATCAAATGTATGAGTTAAATATAATGAGGTGTGACTGTATTAATAAATATTAAGAATAAAAACATTAAAAGAAAACATGTTAGGAATCTTTTCAAAAGCAATGTTTGAATATTCAATCTGTAAAGCCAGCATTTTATTTAGATTAAAGATCTTATCATCAAACTAAAGTCTCAAGTTTACATGTCAGTATAGCATAATTTTTTATTTCAGTAGAATTATCTGCTAGCAGTGATTGTCTTGTTACCACTCAGACCTACACATATATCTTTACATGACACTAAATGAAAGATATTGAGCCACTTGTTAAAAAAAAATTGAAATGATTAAAAAATAAAAGAAAGGAAATAAGTAAATTATTTTTACAAATATATGAAATTATAATAAAGTTCAATAACAGTGAATGAAAGAAAAATTGTGTTCACATTAAAGAAACAGTGTTACCATGAAAAAAAAAAAAGAACATTGTGAAATTAAAGTCAAGCCAAATGTGCTTTACTGACAGTGAAACAATGACAGCAAATACTTAGCACCTTTGAAACTGGGACTTTGGGTTAGATGGAGGAGCTGGTCAGCTTAGTTGGGTAATTCATCTGGGGCACTCTATTGCCCTGCAGATATAAAAAATTGAGTAATAGATAGCATTCTTTTGGACTACATAACAAAATCAAGAGAAAGACCTTAAGAAATGGGGCACTCTTTTGGACTACATAACAAAATCAAGAGAAAGACCTTAAGAAATGGGGCACTCTTTTGGACTACATAACAAGGTCTTATCTTATCTTATGTCAATAATTTAATATATTCATTATTTAAAAGTAAGAAAAGGAGTTAGTTTCATAAATTAATAATCATTAAATTACAGATGACTTCCAATCTAACATTTCACATACAAGTGAAGGACACACAATACTTTAAATCATATCACTAAATGTCAAAATGTTACACAGCACAGAACTTGGAGCCACTTCTCTCAAAATTCAATAGCACTTACTGGAATGCTGTCCATTTGGAAGTGCAAGTATCATCTTCATGTATGCTAGATTACAGTCTGGTAGAATACCCCTGAGGGATTTACAAAATTGAATATCTTATCTGATCATATATAATACAGACGTTACTTAAAAAAAAGATGATGATTACATCCTATGCGTCACGCATTCAGTCATGCATATAAACCAATGACTTAAATTCTGCCAAGTCACTAGTTTTCCTGGCTAGCTCTGGCAACCCATTCCATGCTCTAATAGTACTAGGGAAGAAGAAGTATTTGTACAAATTTGTCCTAGCCTATGGGATGAGGAATGTGCCTTTATCTTTGTGTTTGAAGATTAAGGTTCAGTGTTTTAAATATAATTGCTACTTTACTTTTGAGTCTTCTGTCCTGAAGGCTTTCTAAATTTAGTGCTTTTACTAAAGGTGTTATTCTAGTCAAATGTGAATATTCGTTTGTTATGAATCTCACTGCTCTATTTTGTGTCTGTTTCAGTTTCTTAATGTTTTCTTGAGTTGAGGGGTCCCAAACAGAGGATGCATATTCTATTATTGGCCTAACCAAGGTTAAATATAAATAACATTATAGTTTTATGTTCTTATTTGATTAATAGAAATTTCTTTCAATAAACCCTAATGCTTTGTTTAATTTTTTTATAGTTTCATCAATATGGGGACTCCATGACAGTTCTTCATTTATTATAACACCTAGGTATTTTGCTTAATAAGTTTGTGTTACTGGTTTACCATGAATAAGATAAGTAGAATTAATTTGTTTTGGTTTTTTTAGTTACTCTTATTAACTGACATTTTTCTGGGTGGAAAGACATGCTCCAATTTGATTCCCATTTCTGTTATTCATCTAATGCTCTTTGTAAAATTTCTGTATCTTGTGTTGTTTTTATTGTTCTATATATTATGCAATTGTCTGCGAATAAACTGACTTTTGTTCCTGAACTAATGCAATTTGGTTAATCACTTATGTAACTTAGTAGTGGACCTAAGACTGTTCCTTGAAGCATGCCTGAGTTTACTACTATTGGTGATGATTTAGAGCCATTTATTATTACAGTTTGTTCTCTCCCTATCAGAAAATCTTTAATCCACTGATGCAGTGGACCATTAATGCCGAAATATTTTATTTTTTTAAGCAAACTATGGTGGTGAACTTTGTCAAAAGCTTTGGAAAAATCTAGTAAGATAGCATCTATTTGCTCACTGTTATCTAAACCTTGTGAAAAATCATCAATTAGTCCTATTAGTTGTGTTTCACATGATCTATATTTCCTAAAGCCATTTTGGTATGCAGTAAGGACATTTTGTTTGTCTAAGTGGTGATTGATGTTGCTACATATTATGTGTTCCAGGATTTTACATGTGATGCTGGTAAGTGATACTGGTCTGTAGTTTCCTGGGTCTGATTTTTCTCCTTTTTTAAACAGAGTGGTGACATTAGCTTCTTTCCAGTCCCTTGGTACTCTCCCCTTCTTAAGAAAAGTATTTTTGCTTAGTTCTTTGAGTAATCTAGCTGGAATACCATCAGGTCCAGATGATTTATTAGGTTTGATGTTGGCTAAAAGTTTTTGGATTCCCTGTTCTTGTACTTCTATATCTCCTATGTTGTCTACTTGGTTCAAATTAAGTAATATGTCTTTGTCTCCTGGGGTGGAGAATGCTGATGCAAAGTATTTGTTTAGGATGTTAGCTTTAGTTTCATTAACATTATGTGTTCTGCTGTCTTCTCCTTTTAATAGCGCTATGCCTATTGTTTCCATTTTCTTAATGTATGACCATAGGTTTTTGTTGTTATCTTTAGATATTACATTGTTTATGTATTCACTTTGCAGCTGTCTGCTTACATTTTGGGTTAGGTGTTTAATTTTTATGTACTTTTTATAAACTCTTTCTGCCTTAGTTTCTTTAAATTTTCTATATAGGTTTTCCTTCTGTTTACGAAGCTTCTTTAATCTATTATTAAACCAGCATTTATTTATTTTGTTTGATGTGTATTTAGTTGGTATATGATTTTCTATTATGTTTTTAAGATAGTTTTTTATGAAATTCCAGAGGTCATCGACTGGTTGGTTAATGTCTTTTTCTGATAAGAATGTTTGTTGGAGGTTTAATTCAGCTTGTTGTAGTTGTGTTAGGTTGCATTTGTTCCAGAGTAACATTTTTCTTTTGGGTTTTATATTGGCTACTGCTTTTATCTGACTGTGTATTTTTATGATCTCATGGACTGATAGACCCGGGATAATATCATAATCTACTACTAATCCAGGTCTGTTGGTTAAGAAGAGATCTAATGTGTTGTTTAATCTAGTTGGCTTTTTAATGATTTGATCTAAACTTAGGTTGAGTAAAGTTTCTATGAAAAGCTCATTTATGTCCTTAAGGTTTTGGTGTTTATCTATGGTTAGTGTTTTCCAATTTATATCAGGTAGGTTGAAATCACCTATAATCCAAAAAACTGCATTTTGATTTGTTTCTTTAAGTGTAGTAAACTGATTACATAGAATTTGGTGGTCTGTAAATACTGCCTATTATTAGGGATGTTGAGGTGGTATTAATTTTACAAAATGTTGATTCTATATTTTTTGATATTTTTTGAGTTAGGTAAGGTAATTTCTTCTGCTATCAGAGTGTTTTTTTTATTGCTAAAAGAGCTCCTCCATGATTATCAACCCTATCTTTTCTAAAAATTTCATAATTATTATTGAAAATTTCTGCATTATAAATTTCAGGATGTAGCCAAGACAGAACATGGAAATTGATTGATGAGAGAAAAGAGGCTAAACGTAGACGAGATCAGAAAAATGAAACACAGGATCGCAGCCTAGCGGAAGAAGCCTATAGGGAAGCAGATCTGAAAGTAAAGAGATAAACGGGAATGGATTGAGCAGAAGGGACAAGAGGCACAAGCAGCTGCAAGCATAATTGACACAAAAACTCTTTATCATATTGTCCGAGATCTCACTGGAGCAAAGAGTGGACATGGGGCACCGATAAAAGACAAGCAAGGAAAAATTTGTTTACAAAAGAAGAACAGGATGCAAGATGGATAGAGCACTTTAAAGAGACTCTTAACAAACCGTCGCCAGACCTAACTTACACATTCAAGGACCCCTCTCCGGACAATGATCTCAAGGTAAAGACAGACCCAATAACTGCTGAGGAGGTTACCATGGCCATTGCAGTGCTAAAGAATAACAAAGCACCAGGGCTAGACATGATATCAGCAGAAATTCTAAAATATGGGGGACAGTTAACAGAATGACTGATCTCTTAAATCTCTGTTGGCGAACTTCAATAGTCCCCGAGGACTGGCAAAAGGGAGTAATTGTAAAGCTTCCAAAAAAGGGCAACTTAACAGACTGCAACAACTGGAGGGGCATTACTCTCCTCTCTGTCCTGAGCAAAGTTTTCAGCACTGTTTAGTTGAGAAGGCTTCAACAGTCTGTAGACGGAAGGCTCAGAGAAGAACAAGCAGGTTTCCCAAGAGGCAGATCATGTACAAACAGATTTTCGTTCTACGAAATATCATAGAACAAATTCTTGAGTACCAACAATGGCTAATAATCAGTTTGGTGGACTTAAAAAAGCGTTTGATAGTGTTTACCGAGAATCACTATGGAAAATAGTTAGAGAATACGGCATCCCAGAAAAACTCTGATGATGACGGAGAGCCTAGACAGAGAGACATAAACTTGGATAAGACTAAAATTATGTGAGTGGGATATAAGGCAAAGGGTGCCCCCGTCAGCCTTGGCGAGTCAAAGCTTGAAGAACTGGACAAGTTCACGTACCTTGGCAGCATCATAACAAATGATGGAGATGCCTACCATGATATAGCGTGCCGAATAGGAAAGGCAGGGAGCATTTTCCAAAGGCTGCAGCCTATTTGGACTAGCCAAGCCATTGGACTCGAGACAAAAATACACCTTCTCAACACAATCATCATTCCAACTGCTACATATGCATGTGAGACATGGAAGTCATCTGTCAAAATTGAGAAAAGACTAAATGTGGCTCAACAAAAATGGCTGAGCCGGATTTTTGGAGTCAGTTACACAGATCGGGTCTCAAACATGGAAATCCTATGCCAAACTGGGAGTCGAACACTTATTGAGGTTGTGACTTATTGAGCGTCGCATGAGATTTGCAGGACATATTCTACGGCTAAATGAATTACGCACACCAAAAGTTGCAATAACATGGAAGCCAATATGAGGAAAGCGCAAACAGGGACGGCCTCCTATTACTTGGCGACACACCTTCATGGAGGGCCTCAAAACAGTGGACACCAGGTGGGAGGAGGCTTCAGACATTGCCAATGACAGATCTTTATGCAGACAGTTTGCCGCCCAATGCGCCGAACGGCGCGGGAGGACCTAAGTCTAAGTAAGCCAAGTTTCTGTTCCTGCAATTATGTCTGGTTTCTCACATTCTAATAAAATTTCTAAGTCTGCTGTTTTGTTCCTAATGCTTTGAAAATTTATTACTTAGGTTTTA